TGTTCTCGAAGCTACCAGCATGAGTTTGACCAAACTGTGGGAGGCAGTGGAAGACAGGAGTGCCTGGCGTGCTCTGGTCCATGGGGTCATGAAGAGTCGGACACGACTAAATGACTAAACAACAACAACTAATGTACACTGTGTACTAATGCACACTAATGTACTAACTGTTCAGAACAGTGTTCTTCAGCTTTCAGTCCCTAGATGTTGTTGAGACTACAACACCCATACTCCCTGATGGCTGACTAAGATGGATATGGATGATGGGAATTGTAGTCTAGCAACATGAAGCCCCAAAGCTAAAGAACACAGATTTAGAACACAGTGCATATACCGTAGGTGACTAAGACTATAAGAAGAGTCCTGCTTAACAATGCCCATTTACACCACAAAGAACTCATAACCCACCTGCTCTCAGCAGCCAGAAATACCATAACCAGACACGGGAGAGACCTGTCAGGAGTAAGCATGGACCAATGGTACCAAATAGTATGGGAAACAGCCCTACTAGAAAAATTAACTAATAAACTGAAACTGATACGGGGACAAACAGAAGAAGACACCTTCACCCCGGTATGGCTCCCCTTTATCACACACACAGCCCAACAGGACAATGACAATAATCCACCAACAGCATACAAATCAATATGGCTAACCTGATCCAAAACACCCACCCACCTCACTCACACACGAAAACAAAGATCACCACAGCCAATCACAAGCAAACAATCACACCCTAGGCCAACCCCAACCTCTCTCACCACCAAAGGAACACAAGTGAACAACACAAACAACGCTGACACCAAACTCTACACACATTAAACATAATAGAAGCACCGCCACCCGACCCCACCCCCATCCATCTTCCCTCTCTCCACCCCCCCTTTTCTTCTCTCTTTCTTTTTTCTTCTCCCCCTAATGCCTCAACAAATGAAATGGATTTGTAAAAATGTTACATGAAAAAAACAAACAAAAAATGAGGCACTACACTTCTGTAAAACAAGAAAATCCTTAATAAAATATTAAAAATAAAAAAAAGAAGAGTCCTGCTTGATTAGATCAAATCTGGTCCAGCACCTTTTTCTCACAATAGCCAACTGGATGCTTATGGAACCTAAGCACAGCAGCGCTCTCCCCACTTGTGATTCGCAGCTTCTGGCATTCAGAGGCATACTGCCTCCAACACTGGGAAACACCCAAACTTAGTTTTTGGCTTTGTTATTGGAAGCTCTGTAGAACCTCATTAGGCTGCTGGCAGCCTGACTTGAAAACAGCTTGTAAAAGCCATAAAACGAATGTCGAAAGCACGGCCGCGCACATTCTGCAACGGATGTGCAATTCCTAAATGAGAGACTGTAACCAAATGTTGGCTTTGAGATAAAGACTGACTACCAGTGCTTTCTTCTTCATTTACAGCCTTGCGAGCTACACCAAACTAGAATCTGGCAGTGTGATGGGTTCTGCCGCACTGAACACCAACCCAAGGGGGTGCTACAGAGAATTCCAAATATGACACAGTGGATTGAGCAGAACGGAAGGCATGGGGCTGGGGGCATCAGATTTTGGCCTTGCACAGGGCGCCCCTGTTGCTAGTGTAAAGTTGGAAGCCCATCAAAGAAAGGAGGGGATGTCCACTCTTATCATTTTTCACTTCCTCAATGGCAATCTGACACAAAAACACTTGAAAGCCTCCTTATCACCTCATTCCCTTGCTAGAGCAAGGAAGGTTTGTCAATTGCCCCAACACCCAAGCAAATGACATCATCACCTGAAAAAAAAGTCCCAGAGTGGCACCTCACTGCATGCAGGGCAGAACTCGGGGTCTCAAATTTCAGTGTGTGATGCCAAAATTTGGCACCCCAGTCTCTCGCCTTCCATTCAACATCATAGTTGAGGCACCCCCTGCAGGGCCTCTGAGGCTCTGCGCCCAGTGCGACCCTCCACTACACCATGGCCAATGACTATTTTGAGTAGGATTCCAGGTGCACACAGCCAGAAGGGAAGGAAGGAAGGTGGGGGAAAGGGCAAAGAAAGAACTGTTCAGCTTCATCTTTAAGCCAGTGTGGTGTAGTCGTTAAGAGCAGTGGACTTGTAATCTGGTGAACCGGGTTCGATTCCCTGCTCCTCCACCTGCAGCTGCTGGGTGACCTTGGGCTAGTCACACTTCTGTGAAGTCTCTCAGCCCCACTCACCTCACAGAGTGTTTGTTGTGGGGGAGGAAGGGAAAGGAGATTGTTAGCCACTTTGAGATTCTCCTTAGGTAAAGGGACCCCTGACCATTAGGTCCAGTCGTGGCCGACTCTGGGGTTGCGGCGCTCATCTCGCTTTATTGGCCAAGGGAGCCGGCATACAGCTTCCGGGTCATGTGACCAGCATGACTAATCCGCTTCTGGTGAACCAGAGCAGCGTACGGAAACGTCATTTACCTTCCCGCTGGAGTGGTACCTATTTATCTACTTGCACTTGACTTGCTTTTGAACTGCTAGGTGGGCAGGAGCTGGGACCACACAACAGTAGCTCCCCCCGTTGCGGGGATTTGAACTGCCGACCTTCTGATCGGCAAGCCCCAGGCTCTGTGGTTTAGACCACAGCGCCACCCGCGTCCCTTTGAGACTCCTTAGGGTAGTGATAAAGCGGGGTATCAAATCCAAACTCTTCTTCTTTACCTTCATTGGCGACTTTAAAGGTACCAAGCAAATCTCTAGGGCAGGGTTTCCCAAACTTGGGTCTCCGGTTGTTTTTGGACTACAATTCCCATCATCCCTGACCACTGGTCCTGCTAGCTAGGGGTGGTGGGAGTTGCAGTCCAACCAGCTGGAGACCCAAGTTTCAGAAACACTGCTCTAGGGTCAAGCTTTACAGATGAGAGGACATGGCTTCTCCAGAGGCACAATCTCCTGCAGGTCACTTTTCAGAAATTAACCATTGCAGGGATTGTGGTATACCTGAAAAATCCACTTTGGGTGATTTATTCAGACATAACAGCTTTTCTATGATGAGCATGTCTCTGCTGAAATTATTCATTATTTATAAAGCACTCTTGATTCATGCCATAGATCAAACAGCCATAATGTTTCCCTTTGTTTTAATTGTTATAAGAAGAGGGTTTGGATGTGTCATCCAGCAGCTCCTAGAAGCCAGAAATATTGGCAAAGGAGGAGGGCCACTCCTGCGAGGATTCTGGTGGCCATTAGTCACCTATCTGGTGGAATAACTTTGTGGCAGGATCAGCCCCACCCACTTGGACTGGACATTGCTCCCTCCTCTGCTCCCGGATGCAAGAGGTGAAATGGATTTGGCCTCCCAGATGCAGCATCGCTTTATTTACAGCAAATAGGGACGGGTCATAGGTGTAGCAGAAGCAGAGCCACCTACATCTCACTGCCACCCTGCTTCTGCACTGCCCGGGTAAGCGACAGCAACAGTGCTGGTGCCAGGAGGCCAGGTATATGACGCCACCCCTGCCTGCCACTCCTTGCTGGGTCTAATCTCGGAAAAGGAGAGTTTTTTTTCTGATGAGAGCTTGCTCTCCAAGTCAGCCAGGATCTACGCAGGAGACAGAGCTGTATAATCATGCTATATGAATTATAAAATTAAGAAGTGGTACCTGAGCTGCTTTCCCCCTCCTCCCTCCCCAACTCTTTTTCCTCGCATGCCATGTCTTTTAGATCAATCTCTCATTTATTTTACTAAAGGGATTTACATACCTGCTCTTTCCCTAAGTAAAGGAGCGAGATACCCAAATAAAAAGAGCAGAAGCGGTAGTCGTAAGGCTATGATCTAAAACCACTTTCCCCAACCTTGCGTGTGTGTCCCCCCCCTAATGCTGTTGGACTACAATTCCCATCAGTCCCAGATGGCATAGCCCAATGTTCAGGGATGATGGGAGTTGTAGTGCAACCACATTGAGGCAACTCATTCCTTTACTTAGCAAAACAAGGGGGCACATAGATGCTTTTACAGTACAATACTAAAATAAAGGAAGGAATGAACAGCCGGTTGTAACACAGCGCATCCGCTAAGGAGATGTCCCTTTGCATCTCTCCACTAGTAGGGTTGCCATATTTCAAAAAGTAAAATTCCTGGCACCTGGGTGAGACAAGCAAAGGTAGGATAAAGAAGGGACTGCGGCTGCCCTGGCTCTCTTCTCGTCCTGGTTTCTATCCAGGCCTGTGCACAGAGCAAAAGAATGCCGGCAGGAGCAGCGCCCGCCCGCCTCGCTCTCTTTCCGCCTTCCTTCCCTCGACCAGGATCCGTGGGCTGGAATGGCAGCCTCCGCCTGGGCGTGCCACCTTGCAATGGCGTCAGGAGCAACCTGTCAGCTTTGGCTGCCTGGGCGAGACCCCCGCCAACAAAACAGCCCCTTCCAGAGGTCGACCTCTCCCTCAGAGTCCCAGCTTATAGGAAAAGGATCCACCCAGTCCCCCGAAGGGCATCGGCGGGTTTCTTTATCTCCCGAGGAGAAGGAGAGGGTGGGGGAGCGCAATGCAACCCACCCAGCGCGTCCCGGGCGCGCGCAGATGCCCGTGGAGAGCGCTGCCCGCCTCCAAGGCAATCTCTCGGGTTTGGCGACTGAAGCGCCTTTGAAATAAACGCCGATCTGGGAAAGCAAACCCACATGGCGAATGCAACCGGAGACGGTGGTGGTAGGGCGGTGGGGGGGAGTCCGGATCGGGGAAAGGGAGATCCACCGCGCGGCTTGGAGACAGACCGGCAGAGAAAAGAAAAGCGTTTACACCCGGCCGTGGGAATGCCCGCCGCCCCGGATCGTTGGGAAGGGGCGAGCCCGAGCGACGAAGGCAGGGCCAGGGCGCAGCAGCCGGCCTCGCCGAGAGAGCCACGGAGCGGAGAGACAGCGAGAAAAAGGAGGCCGCCCCGGCGTCCATCCAAGCCGGGCAGGAGAACCCAGGAAGGCGCGCTGGCTGCGGCGCAGGCGAGGCCCGTCGGAGGCGCGCGCGGGGGAAGGGGAGCGAGGGGAGCCGGGCCCGGGGCTGCCTTACCCGCCGCGGTGCTTGCTGTCCATCCGCTTCTTCTGCCGGACCGGCTGCAAGGGGATGTTGTCGGTCATGATGGCCGCGGCGGCGGGGAGGATCTCGCCTTCCCACCAGCAGCCTCGCCAGGCGCGGCCCAGCCTCTCCGCGCTCTGATGGCAGCGGCGGCGGCGGCGGCGCTGTCGAGGACGACCGGGCGGGCTGGGGGCTGGGCGGCGACGCGCAGGTAACGTGGACGCTCACGCCGCCCCCTCCCCCGCATCTCCCCCTCCCCGGCCCACCCATTGGGCGGCGGTCGCCCCCGCCACTAGGCAACGCTGCCTCCCCACCCGTCCCCCGGCTCAACGCACCCCGTGCCGCAGGGTCTCTTCTTCCCGCCTTCCACCATCTCTCCAGGTAAAGGTGCTGCGCTTCTTGGCCAAGCTGCGCTTCCGAGCAGCCGCGGCCTTGGAGAAAGTTGCTGTCCAGGCTGGACGTCGAACCATCCCCGCAGCAAAGTCACTCTCCCCCACCCCCCTCCACACACACTTCCTGGTGCCAGGATATTTGGCTGGCTGCCACGCTGGCCAGGCGTCTGTGCCAGGTATAGGGGAGCTGGCTTGGATTGGCAGGTGACTCTTTCTTCAACCCTGGCCCTGGGGTGGCATCCTTCAGTGGACTGGAGGGCAGTAGGTGCCTGAGGGATTCTGTTTCACAAACCACAGCCCTGATCCCCAAGAGAAGGGGAAGACCAGGAACCTCAAGGTTATTGGCGGAGTGCTGGCACCCAGTATTGGAGGCCATTGCTTCACTCTGTCTAGTGATAGGGCCAGCCCCATAGCTGCTTGTTTCTCCTGGCCAATCTAAGAGCTTACCCACACTTACTTTTTGCCCCACTCTTTGCAGGCACAGGTCCGCACTTAAAAGCTCCTTGTCAAGATGTTGTTGTTGTTGTTGCACTGGAACACCCACACCCACACCCAAAACCACTCTTTAGTGCTCAATCAGAGCAAACATTGATTCAAGTTTTCCATGGGTTGTTGTTTGCTCCAATGGGTTTTTGAACAGGAAGCTTGGGGCGGAGGAGAAAAAGGTGCTCTGACACAAGAGCTTCAAAGCACAGACTGTGCCTGGAAAGAGTGGAGGAAAGGGAAGTGTGGCCAAGCCCTCAAACCTCATCATTATTTTGTCCCACCTGTGTGCAGTGCCAGCTAGACACTTCAGACCACCCTGGGCTGAAACCAGGCTCCTTAGATTGTGAGAACCTTTTACTTTCCCCAAATTACGGGAGTCACAAGGCCATTGGTTGATCCAGATTAAACACAGTTGGGGAGTGCCAACACCAAGTTTTGAGGGACCCTTCAGGAAGTTGCTTCCTACCTTCCCAAGTGCAGGTTATATAGTCCTTGGGATGTTGTTGGACTACAACTCCCATCACCTTTGAACAGGGGAGTTGTAGTCCAAAAGCATCCAGAGGGCTGCAAGCTAGCTAGCCTTGCTGTTGCATCACCACTGCTCCTTCCACAAGATGCTCAGAGAAAGCAGAGTGCAAAGCAATAGGAGTCTGCAGCTGCTGCTTCTTAATTTGACCCCTGCTTACTTCCTGGGTGAGAACAAGTAAACAGGCAGTGACAGAAGGAGCAGTCATGGCCAGGGATTGGCAGCGGGTCCCTGCTGGGGCGTGCTGACTCCTGACAATGGGTATGTATGGGCAGTTGTATTTGATATGTGAAAAAAGGGACACGGGTGGCGCTGTGGGTTAAACCACTGTGCCGCTTGGGCTTGCTGATTGAAAGGTCGGCAGTTCAAATCCCTGGGGTGAGCTCCTGTTGTTCAGTCCCAACCTAGCAGTTTGAAAGCATTAAGTGCAAGTAGATAAATAGGTACCACTTTGGTGGGAAGGTAAACGGTGTTTCCTTGCGCTGCTCTGGTTTTGCCTGAAGCAGCTTAGTCATGCTGGCCACATGACCCAGAAAAACTGTCTGCAGAAGCGGACAAATGCCGGCTCCCTCGGCCTGTAAAGCGAGATGAGCGCTGCCACCCTGGAGTTGTTTGCAACTGGACTTAATTGTCAGGGGGCCCTTTACCTTTACCTTGATATGTGAGCACTGACCTGTTTATTGAGCATTCCTTCTGATTTGTTTGTACAAAGTTTTCAAAGTTATACAGTCGTGGAGGAAGAGGGCTTTGTACGCTCTTGGAGGAATGATGCAAGACAATATAGCTAAATAGCTAAACCCAACTGACTTCAATGTGATTTAAACCAACTAAGTAGGCAAGTCCATAGCCCTCAAGTATAGAGTTTCTTTTCTTTGATTGCACCAACTGGGCTGAGAAGCTGTCACCATGCCATTGTCCTTTGATCTCAGTGCTAAATGTGGTCGTGTGTCACAGTTTGCCTATCGGCAGCTGGATTACCCTAATTGACTCCAGGAACTGGATGGCTGTCTTTGGGGAATTCTTGGCCTCTCTTTAACTCTGCTGTCCCATCCTCCTTTTCCCATAAAAACAGGTGCATCCCAAAGCTGCTTGATCCCATTGAGGAATTTGATTATCCTTGCCCACTGCTCTTCCCACTTCTTCATGTCATCTGTTAAATGCATATCTATCTCATCAGGACGACACATCTGGAAAAACTCAAGGCAACAGGACTTAGGGCAGACCGCATTAATCACTGCGGCAAGTACGCTGCAGAGCAGGGCCCAAGCCGAATGAATTCTATAAAAGCTGTAATTTAGCTTCACTGTCTGCACACAGGGGTGATAAGAGATTAGTCCCAAGGAAAGGAAGGTATCACTTGTCTTAAAGTACAGTAACCATTTTGTATCCGATTCTCTGGGGAAAATCATTCTCAGGAAGAGAACTAGTGGTTGTGAGGAGGGCAGACGGTAAGAGAAAGTAGCTCTTACATATGGCTACAAGTGTCAGGGCATTTGAACACTATCCAGATTACCTAAATCATGGGTAGGCAAACTAAGGCCCGGGGGCCAGATCCGGCCCAATCACCTTCTAAATCCAGCCCACAGATGGTCTGGGAATCAGTGTGTTTTTACATGAGTAGAATGTGTCCTTTTATTTAAAATGCATCTCTGGGTTATTTGTGGGGCTTGTCTGGTGTTTTTACATGAGTAGAATGTGTCCTTTTCTTTAAAATGCATGTCTGGGTTATTTGTGGGGCATTGTTCATTTCCCTTCCCCCCCAAAAAATATAGTTCGGCTCCCCCACAAGGTCTGAGGGACAGTGGGCCGGCCCCCTGCTGGAAAAGTTTGCTGACCCCTGACCTAAATGCACAGAAGACTGGGCCAAGTGGCCAGGTTTGCACACTTCCTTCCAAAGGAGCCCAGGGCAGCAGTCATCACATTAGAACCAATCTGTTCATTGCTCAGAATGAGGCATCATTCTTTTAATGCTCTCCTATGCACAATGGAACCACCACCCTACCTAAAGTAAAGTAGAAATATTAAGCATAAACCTTTCCCTGCTGCGTTAGATTACTACATGCAGGGAGCTACCTACATGGGAGAACAGTAGAAGACATTACCCATCACCTGCAGCAGGAGAAGGAACATAGCTCAGGGGTTAGAACATCTGCTTTGCATTCAAAAGGTCCCAGATTCAGCCCCTGGCATCTTCAGGTAGGGCTGGGAGAGAGCCATACATGAAACCTTGGAGAGTCACTACCAGCCAATGTCAACACTAGGATAGATGGACCAAAGATCTGACTGTTCCTGAGAGTAGGACCCGAACTGATGTCTTCAAGTTACAATAAAGGGAAGTCCAACTAAACATCAGGAAGAACTTTCTGACAATAAGAGCTGCTTGACAATGGGATAGACTCCCTTGGAAGGTGGTGGGCTTTTCTTCATTGGAAGTTTTAAAGCAGTGGTTGAGTGGCCACCTGCCATGGATGCTTTAGCTGAGATTCCTGCATTGCAGGGGGTTGGACTAGATGGCCATTCCAGCTCTACAATTCTATGATTCTGTGGCTCTGTTCAAGGCAGCTTCCTCTGTTCCTAGCAACATGGGAGCTTGAATGCTTAAGAGGCCTTTAGCCTCCTTTAGAAGACTGTTCCATGAAGTGCATTCAGATCCCAGTCATTGGCGAGGGTCTCGAGGGGCTGGCTTCATCCAAGTTCCATCTCCTTCATAAATGCCCTCAACCCATTATATTCACTTTCTAAGGAGAGACAATAAAAGAACAGCTGTGAACAGAGGCAAGGGAGTGCTCTTCTTGTGGTTTAATGGACAAAAAAAAATCACTTAAATAAAAACATCTCAAAACAGAAGTGCTTCTGCAGCTGAAACAATCGTGATCTTGTATGTCAAAACTGAAATTATTAGCGGTACGGCAATGGTATATTTGCCCTAAATCTTCTCTGTGTCTGAGCACCGACAAGGCCACTGCGATTAATTGGCCAGTTAATCACTACCAGACTATAATAAGCTGTTAACACCTGTATCTCTGATCTGCTGGGATGGCTTTGATTTCCCCCCACTCTTCTCTCACCCGCTTAGACAAGTGGGCGATAGCGGATATCCTTTAAACATACATTTAATGAAGCCCTTCATAAATCCATCAGCACTTGCAAACGGAAACTACAATACAGCTCAGGCTGCCACATAGCTTTTGCAGAGGGGCCATTTGGCATCTTTCTACTGATGCATCTGTGTGTTCTGCGCGCTTCAAAATATACGTTATGTATATAGCCTAGAAGGGTTTGGGAGGATCGGTTCGTAAATAGTAAAAATGAGGGGGGTTTGCTAAGACACAGAGTAGCTGTTTTCTCCAGAGTTTGGCTAAAGTGTAACATTTTTATTTCTACTTTGGTGCTGTAAAGAAATAACATAATTCGGTCAGAACCATGCCTGCTGGCTCAGCCTCCCAGGGCCCTATTCCTCCCCACCTCATGCCTTCAGTAAATGCAGGTGTACCTTTGCTAAAACAAAGGTGTAAAAACAGGGCTAGATTCCAGTGGTGACCAAGTTGGGTGTTTGCTGGGCCCCATAACCAACAAAGGGTCTGCCACCCTATCAATGCTAAGATTCCCCCTCCCCAGAAGAATTGCAGGAGTTTAGACTAGATGACCTGTTTTGAGTCATCTACAATTCTACAACTCTTTGATTCCAGTGTTAGGTGCAGCCTAAGAGTTTCCTGAGTTGGTGTCATGGAGTGGTTGGACACAGAGGAATGGTGGGAGGAACCAAATGGGGAACCACCAAGGGAATAAGTTTCAGAGCCTGGGGAGTGGTGCTAGGAAGATGGTGAGTGGTCAGAGGGGGAAGTCTGGGAAAAGGAGGTGTCAGAAGCTGAAGAGGTAACAGGGTTTAGTGAGCAGGGGTCGGGTGGGTGAGAGAGTCTGTGACAGAGAAGTTCAGAATCAGAGGCAGAAGTTGAAGCAGGCAAGTGGAAGGAGAGAGGCCAGGAGGCAGATAGGAGTTTGGCTGGTGGAGCGCCACAAGTGTGTCCCCCTCCTGCTGTGACCAGTTCCCCTCCCCCTTTGTTTCCCTGAACCAGAAGAGGGCTGAAATGGATGTAGCAGTGGCAGGCTACACACAGGGGCAGTCTCCCAATTGCTTGGGAAAAGTGACTTAAGGGGGCAAGATTCATAGGGCAAGACCTACTGGGGATGAGCCGCTGTGTTCATTAGGCCTTATAAGATTGTATTTTTCCTCATTTACCATACCCATTGAGTCAATTGCCCATCTCCTACTACCCTCCTGAGAAAAACCCCACCCCACCCTCCCACTATGTATACGGGTCTGGTGACTTCTGTTTCAGTGTATCTGAAGAAGTGTGCATGCACACGAAAGCTTATACCAAGAACAAACTTAAGTTGGGTCTCTAAGGGACACGGGTGGTACTGTGGGTTAAACCACAGAGCCCAGGACTTGCCGATCAGAAGGCCGGTGGTTAGAATCCCCACGACGGGGTGAGCTCCCCTTGCTCGGTCCCAGCTCCTGCCAACCTAGCAGTTCAAAAGCACATCAAAGTGCAAGTAGATAAATAGGTACCACTCCAGCGGGAAGGTAAACGGCATTTCCGTGCGCTGCTCTGGTTTGCCAGAAGCGGCTTAGTCATGCTGGCCACATGACCCGGAAGCTGTATGCTGGCTTCCTCGGCCAGTGAAGCGAGATGAGCGCCGCAACCCCAGAGTCGGTCACGACTGGAGTCCCTTCAGGGGTCCCTTTACCTATAGGTAAGGTGCTACTGGACAATTTTATTATTTTTTTATATATTTCGACTGCGTCAGACCAACACGGCTACCTACCTGAATCCTCATAAAGAGTTAACTCCAACTTGGAATAGTGCAAATTTACTCTTGGACAGTTTCAGGTTGCAGTAGCCTTATTGAGGTGCCATGCCTTAAAGGTAAAGGTACCCTGCCCGTACGGGCCAGTCTTGACAGACTCTAGGGTTGTGCGCCCATCTCACTCAAGAGGCCAGGGGCCAGCGCTGTCCGGAGACACTTCCGGGTCACGTGGCCAGCATGACAAAGCTGCATCTGGAGAGTCAGAGCCGCACACGGAAACGCCGTTTACCTTCCCGCTGGTAAGCGGTCCCTATTTATCTACTTGCACCCGGGGGTGCTTTCGAACTGCTAGGTTGGCAGGCGCTGGGACCGAGCAATGGGAGCGCACCCCACCACGGGGATTCGAACCGCCGACCTTTCGATCGGCAAGCCCTAGGCGCTGAGGCTTTTACCCACAGCGCCACCTGCGTCCCATGCCTTAGCATCCCTCAAATCAGAAAAGCACAGAGTGGTAATGGTTCACAATTCAGTTCTCTGACCATTTTCAGTTTCCTGCTTCCTGAAATCTCCTATGCTGGGAGGTCAGTAAGGTTTTCAAAGGTTTAGGGCAGGAGCAGCTAACCTGTGGCAACTCCTATCATCCCTTGCTACTAACCATGCTGACTGTGGCTGCTGTGAGTTTGAGCCCAGCAATAACTGGAGGGCCACAGATTTTCTACACCTGGTTCAGTGTAGCACTCCAGTAACTTTGCTACTTCCCCAACTAGCAAAGCTGGAAAGTACCATTGGTACTCATACCAAGGGGATGTTCAGTGGTTCCTCGGAAGTCGAACGGAATCCGTTCCGGAAGTCCGTTCAATTTCCAAAACGTTTGGAAACCAAGGCGTGGCTTCCGATTGGCTGCAGGAAGCTCCTGCAGGCAATCTGAAGCAATGGAAGCTGCGGAGGACGTTTTGGGTTCCAAAGAACATTCGCAAACGGGAACACTCACTTCTGGGTTTGCAGCGTTCGGGAGCCAAAACATTCGACTCGCAAGGCGTCCAGGATCCAAGGTACGACTGTACTGCAAACTTTTGAAAAGGGGGGGGCACCCCGTTTGGCAGAATTTATACAATTCCCAGAATCTGAATAGCCTGTGTGCAGATTTTCTTTTTGTTGAAAGCATAAATACATTGAGCATTGGTTATGGAGCACCTTGTTGCACTGAAAGAGCTGTATAAATGTCACAAAAATGAAAGTTAGATGCATTAAGTGTGAAAAAGTCATCCCAAATTTATTTTCATAACATCAACAGAAACGTTTCAGTAGATAAGTTTTCTTTTTTAAAAAAGCTACACAGTATTTCCTTAAAAGTCCATACATTCGCAACTCAGAAGAGACATTTGATGATTGGGATGAACCTTTGGCATGTTCAATGTAACAAGATCCATTTTACAGTGTAAACAGGGTTGTGTTCTTTACGAAGTCCAGCAGGAAAGGCACAACTTGGCAAAAAACTGATCCTAAGCAACAACAACAAAAACTGAGAGGAGAAACACACACAATATAGTTCAGGTGCAACAACATGGTGCAAGTAAAGTGTATTTTTTCATTATTATTATTATTACTGAATCCACATTGTTTCATGAGCCTTCCACATGAGCACAGCTGGACCCTTGAATTCGGGGGTGGGGGAGAAGCCATATGTTTATTCAAAGTCATTTTAATACCGAATACTAAGCTCTATTTTCCAATGTAGCTTCACATCCACAAAGAGATTATGCAGAAGTGAGGAGGGGAGGGGCTATGGGGGGAAAGCCCCCAAACAAACAAACAAACAAACAAACAAACAAACCTCACACACACCATGACATCATCAGACATTCTTACCAGCATATCATATTTTGGTTCAAATAGTGCACAGTAGCCTCTGCTTGGATCTCAAGTTTAATACAGTGGTTATTTGATAGAAAAATAGACACTCAGCACTACAAAAAGAACAACAACATAATAATATAATAATAATGAGGTAGATAACTTAGAATCCACAGGGCCATCCCAGTAACCTTCATACAAACACAAATGCCATCAGGTTTTTTTTTGGGGGGGGGGTTGGATTGTTTTCCCCTCCCCCAAAAAATGCAAATACACAAAGTCAAAAAGGAAGCTATCAGCCCCTGCAAGCAACCCTAGATTTCTCCTGTACAAACTCCAAATGCACCACAAGAACACAGGAAGTCCATACAGATAAAACATCTGGGTGGTTTGCACCCTGAATTTCTGAATTGGAAGTGTCTTAGCAAATTAGAACACCCCTCATCCCCCCCCTACTTCATTTTAAATACAGAATCTTGATACAGACATTTCCCAAGAAAATCAAATATGCATGAACAGGCGAAAGGTTTCCTCATGCTACATGAACTGTTTCCAAAATGCAGTCCCTTGAGATTCCCAGCAGAACATTCCAAACTCGGCCTCCCCAAAGGATCCAAATTCCCTTTCGACAGTATATACAAAGCTTTTACCCTCTTGCTCGTTCGATGAGTCTCTCCCAACTTCCTCCCTGCAATGTGGCGTATTTGGGGGTGGCAGTGGGTGTGGAACAGCAATGCACTGCAAAATCAGGATTTTGGCACAGTTATCTTGATGGCGTGCATGCGTTCATGTAGTATTTAAATAAGCAGCAGTCACCAGTACAAGGTATTTAAGGTTTATCGTGGATTAAACAGACAGTGCCAGTTTAAAAATGAATTTTCATATCCAACAAAACATTCTTCTGAGTAAAGTGGGATCTGCATGTCCAGTAGGCATTATAGTAATATTACATTCAAAACCACATTTAAAAACAAACCACACACATACACACAAAAGGTACTATCCTAAAAGGGTGGCATTCTTGGATATTTACCCGCATAATTACTTTCCACATATCAGTCGTGAATTCCAGGAGTGCCAAACTCCCTGTGTCCCTCTCTGAATGGCCAACTGATTTGACCCTGCTCTTCTCGAAGCCACAATTGATTTCTAAGCCGTAACAACGAAACAAAAAGAGGTATATATGTTCATCAGTTTTGGATTTTCACATTGTAAAACGGGCAACGTTTTACACATTAAAGTCATCCATATAAGAACTACTTTGCAAGACCCGCATTTTTCCAAAAAAAGAAGAAAAAAAGAAGAGAGCCCTAAATAGGCTCTTCTCCCCAAAAAACAAAACAAAACAAAACCAGCATGATTGTACTCTGGGCAACTCTTTACAAAGACAACCATAGACTCATTTGCACATTGATAGGAAAATAAGGATACTTGAGGTGTAATCTCTTAAAAATATAATATATATATGTTTCTATAGTGATTCCTTTAAAAAAAATCCATTCTGCTTCCTCTCAAGTTTTCTTGGCTTTCAATTGACAGCAATTTTGTTTTCCTCCATAAAGTGAGGGAATTGGCGTTTTGGCACAGTGTCTGTGGCGGTGCTGCTGGGCTTCTCGATCTCTGAACCAGTCGTAGACTGGGAACCATCCATCTTGGAGACTGTGGCGGAATTCATTGCTATGTTGATTGCCGGACCTCCCCCAATTGTGGTTGGAAGAGAAGGTATACCGCCACTCTGGATGACAGAGATCTCATTGGCTTTCATGGCTAAGCCGTTGCTGAGGACTGCAGCGTACTGGTTCCATGCTGAGGGATCGAGGCTGACTGAGGAAGGAACGACCTCCTTGGGAAACATCTCTGATACCTTCTTGGGATCGTTCCCGATCAGAGCTATGGGGTTGTCGATGGACAGTCTTCTTCCACGTCTGGGGGAGTTGTTCCACATGTGAGTTCCAACGTGAACCTTAACAGAGACAGGAAGGAGGGTGAAGAGAGGGGAAAATATCAAAATGATGTTTCCACTTCTAACCGATCCATTGGCAAGAAGCAAATGGGAGCTATGGGTAAAGCATTTACATTGTGAAAGAGTTTCAAACCACAGCCACAGACGGCCAAGTCCATCACTCGCTAAATAGTGAAAAGTGCAATAACCCCAAGCACTTTGCCCTGTGCTCCCTGGAATGACGATGCTACACAGATGCAAGAGATTAAAGAGGCAAGCGATTAAAAGGGAAGGGGACAGATGGCAAGAGGAAGTTCCCTACCCCCACAAACATGGTACATTCTCCATGCTGGGTTTTCCCGGCAAGAGCTAAAGCAGCGGGAACCTCCTGAACGTCAATGAAGTTAAGACCCTTGTGGGCTTTAGGAAGCTCTGCAAGAGGCATTTTACAACACAAAGACAAGCCCTTTTAATGTGGTCCTCTACGTCAAAGTTAAATTCATGACATGGAGAGAAGAGGGGCTGCAGCCACTGGCTCTGCTCCGACTCAGTCCATGCATTTAAAAGGAGGATTGCAAAGGTACTCACACAAAGTCCACCTGAGCCCCTCTTCTCAGCAAGGTAAACCACAATTAAATTAAATCAATCTGATTACTTAATCACAAATTAAAGTGCACCATTAAAATAACAACTGATAACTAATGCAGCAGGAACATCCACAACTGACTATAAATTGCCACACAACTGACTAAGTTGCCACAATTGTCGCATGTGGACTTGCTGATGGTGGGCCCATCTCCCCACCCCAACAGAGGGACTCATGTTGGACTCTTAAAGTAGGGCAGAGGAACCTGTAGTTCTCTAAATGTTGCTGAATTACAACTCCCCTCAGGCCCAGCCAGCATGACCAGTGGGTCAGGGATGATGAGAGTTTTAGCTCAAGAACATTTGGAAGGTCCCAGGACAGAGGACACAAGTGACACATTTGGCCACAGTACCAGTTTCAGCTTCAGAAGTTTGCTGCTGTTCTGGCTTTCCCACAGCAACCACTAGCAGTCCCGTTTGGGTTGGAGAAAAGAAAAGCGAGGGATCAATACTTAATTTTTTCTGCACAAATCAGTGCTTTCCCTCCTCGGCTCACCTTGAGGTTCCCTTTCGTGGTGAAAGCCCTTCCGCAGATGGTGCAGGCGAAGGGCTTTTCGCCCGTGTGAGTCCGCTCGTGAATCTGGAGGGCGCTTGCCGAAGAGAAGTTCTTGCCACACGTAGTGCAGATATGTTGCTTCGCAGTCCGGCGAGGGGGCGGCACCAGCAGAGGCCCAGAGGACGACAACACATGGGGGCCAATAAAATGGGCCGTGCTGATGGAACGATCGCTAGGAACTTCCATTTTTATAAGACCTGGCGGCGCTCTGACAAAAGCAGGGTGGATGCTGTTTCGACCTACAAAATAATTTCAAAAGGGGAACAGAGAACGCATTGGTACCTTGAATGCGATGAGGCTGATTAAATGTTTCTAAAGGACCTAGTGACTTTTTTTTTAACACACACACACAAAATCCTGCTGAGCAAATACGAAGAAATCACCATATGATCATATGCTTAGCTTGGAGACAGATGCACAAAAGCAGAAGGTCATTTGTAAATAGGATAGCTGGTTGCCGTCAGTATACGCATTCTGCTGAGTGGCTTGTTTTACAAGAGCAGGACAAAAAATAATAATGTGTTCCTGAAAACCTCTCTTTGGATAGAATTCTAGGGTCTGTCCACCAGCCAAACAGACTACCACTCATGCCACGGGACTCAGATTCAGGACAAGAGAAAGGACTTATTCTCACAGCACGAAGTTAGGACTATGGAACTCTCTCCCACAAGAGACAGTGATGACCAGCAACTTGGATGACTTTAAAAGCAGGTTAGAAAAATTAATGCTGGATAAAGCTATCAGAGGCAACTGACCCTGGTGGTTGTGTTTTGTGCCCACTGTTGAGAGGGAGCCCACAGTATCAGATGCTGGAAACTTCAGGAGGAAATAGAGCATTTGGGATTCAGATTTTGCTTGCAAGCTTCCCCTGTGCATCCATCCAGTTGGTCACAGGAGCTTGGACTAGATGTACTTCTCCCCTACTCTGCAGCTCCACAGGCACCCCAAAATCTGCTCTGGAGGATTAGGGGACCTTCTGGAGCAGATCATGAGGAGAATGTGGGCTTCAGGGGTGCATGAAAGGGCAAATCTGCTTGCCCAATGCCGAGTGTCATCCTTTAAAATGGATGCCTGTCTCCAGACCTACGGGGGAAAGGAGACCCTCTGCTTTTGGGTGGGTAACAAAGGAGACTTTAATGACAATTACCGTATTTCTCGCTCTATAAGACGCACCAGACCACAAAACGCATCTAGTTTTTGGAGGAGGAAAACAAGAGAGAAAAAAATCTGAATTTCAGAAGCCAGAACAGCAAGAGGGATCGCTGCGCAGTGAAAGCAACAATCCCTCTTGCTGTTCTGGCTTCTGTGATAGCTGTGCAGCCTGCATTCGCTTCATAAGACGCACACACATTTCCCCTTACTTTTTAGGAGGGAAAAAGTGAGTCTTATAGAGCAAAAAATACGGTAAGTGTCATACAAATTTTGCTAAACTTGTATTCTCTAAGCACAGGTTTTGACGTCTTTTTCTATGTTTGCAGTACTTTTCAATGATCTTAAAAAAAATTGATGAAAAGAAGACGTATTTTGAAAGTTTGATGTTATAATAGCTTTGTTGTATTAGGCATTAACCCCCAACTCTTTTAGACCCACCCATAATGGAGATGGTTTTACAATATTTCTGAAAAGACATAGAAGAGGCAACTGCTAGATCAGATGGAAGAATCATCTAGTTCAGTAGCCTATTCTCGCAGTGGCCAACCAGGTGCCCATGGGAAATCTGCAAACAGGAAGTGAGCACTACAGCAACCTGCCCTACTGATATTTCCAGTAACTCCCAGCAATGGAGATAGGAGATGGCCTTCCTCCATGAATTCATCTAATCCTCTTTTTAAAAAGGTAAAGGGACCCCTGACCAATAGGTCCAGTCGTGACTGACTCTGGGGTTGCGGCACTCATCTCGCTTTATTGGCCAAGGAAGCCGGCGTACAGCTTCCGGGTCATGTGGCCAGCATGACTAAGCTGCTTCTGGCGAACCACAGCTGCGCACGGAAATGCAGTTTACCTTCCTACCGGAGCGGTACCTATTTATCTACTTGCACTTTGATGTGCTTTCGAACTGCTAGGTTGGCAGGAGCAGGGACCAAGCAACGGGAGCTCACCCTGTTGCGGGGATTCAAACAGCCGACCTTCTGATCAGCAAGCCCTAGGCTCTGTGGTTTAACCGACAGCGCCACCCACGTCCCATCCTCTTTTAAAGCCATCCAAATTGGTGGCCAGCACTACCTCGTGTGGAAGGGAATTCAACTGTGCAAAGAAGTCATAACTTTTGCCTGCCTTCAATCTTCCAGCTTTTAGCTTCGTTTGGGTGTCTAACGTGGTATGGCTCTTTGATATTATTGCCTTTGCAGCAAGTTGTTTCCAGTCCCACACAGCACCAGTAACACAGGAAGATTAATTCCACATCGCTGCTTTATGGGGAACTTTCCATGCTACTGCTGGCCCTGGTGGAGGGAGGGAGGGGCAACAACAGCAAAGGAAATAATTCCTAGGTTATCTGCATGGCACAAATGCCATCCACAGGCCAGTGACTTGGTGGCAGCTGTTGCACTGTTAAGATATAACACAGGGATTATCCTTGATTGGGAGCATCTCACGTAGGAGATTCAACAGCCAATAACTGCAGCCATGAAGATCATCTGTATATATGACCTTGTGGCACGACAGTGATGATCTCAATTAGTGCTGTGCTGAAAATTGATCTTACATTTCCTCCCAAATGAATGAGAAATTAATTTGAAGCTTCGTAAATGAACAACAACAACAAATTCAACAGAAAATTATGAGACTATTTTAATTGAAAAGAAAAAAAATTCCTTCCAGTAGCACCTTAAAGACCAACTAAGTTAGTTCTTGGTATGAGCTTTCGTGTGCATGCACACTTCTTCAGATACCAGAATTGAAAAGGTTACTCGTGCGAAGAGAAAGACACCTGAAGGCGTATGAAGGCCTGTGGGATATGAAGCAGAGATTGGATGGCCACCTGTCATGGATGCTTTAGTTGGGATTCCTGCATTGCAGGGGGTTGGACTAGATGACCCTTGGGTCCCTTCCAACTCTACAATGCTACGATTCTATGAAATATGCACCTCCTGAGGGGGTAGGGCAGGCAACACAGAAGTTTCACATTACTTCTTAAGCCATTGCTTTAGCCATACAGTCAAGCCATTCTAAGCACCTGGGGCTCTGGCAGAAACAAGAAACCAAACTTTTCTTTTCTCCCATCAATGAGATTACTGTGGCTCTTCAGTCAGACCCCTTCATGTATCCCTAGCACTCTTTAAAGGGAGAAAAAAAAAATAAACCACCCAACTGCTCCTGTCTCAAGGAAACTAGTTTAAGTATCTTGGGTTGTGTCATTAGATGTGTGTGTCTTTTTGATTACATTTAGGTTTGATGCTTTACAGACACTGGGAATTTGGGACAAACTGGGCAGACAGATGGTGAGGAAGCAGGAGCCTGGCAAAGAGGCAGTGGTTACCTGACTTCTACTTTGCTCATCTGATGGGAAGAGGACATGGGGTTGTTCTCAAGCCTCCCGTCATGTTGCTTAGCTTTAGAAGCAGAGAAAGACCAATACCAATTCCCCAAAGAGAGCAGCTGTAGCAGGCTATAGCATTTCTCCAACCTGGGAGTCTCCCAGGCTGGTGCTCCCTTTCTGTAGCACATTGTTGTAGAACCTCTGGCCCACCAGACATGGTCGGAATCCAACTCCCATCAGCCCCAGCCAATACAGCCAGTGGTCAGGGCTGATGGGAAATGTAGTCCATCAACATCTGGAATGCCAATGCTTCTCCATACCTGGTCTGGGTAGCCAGGCACAGTCAAGCAAGCTGTGAAGCCGAAACACACACCCATAGATGTAACAGTAACTGTAATGGGGACTTAGAAAGAAAGGAAGAAAGGAAGGAAGGAACGAAGAAAGGAAGAAAGAAAGAAAGAAAGAAAGAAAGAAAGGACGACTCACCATATTCTCCATTTGGGAAGAGCAACCCAGGTTCCTCTTTGATAATCTTTCGACCAATACTGCCATAAGTTAGATCCAAAGCACTATCCCTTTCCACGGGACGGATTTCAGGACCCATGGGGTGGGTTTCGGGACCCTCAGCCTTACTTCCCGCTGCACTGTCCTCTTGGATGTTAAAGTCTGGAGACTTGGATGTGGGGCTCTCTGCTTGACTGTTGGCTGGAGACAACGCTGGGAAAGAAGCTGAATCAGAGGCAACAGGACTGCGGCTGCCATTCTGATAGTCTGCATCACCCATTACTGAGGAAGAGTCATTGGTCATACCATCGCTCTCTCCTGAGCCATTATCGCTGCATTTCTGGCTGCTTTGGCGCTGCAAGGACAAGGTGGAGTTCACCATCTTCATCTGGCTTTCCAGGGCTGAAATGCTGGAGAAAACAGAACTCGTAGGCTCGCCTGGAGTACCACATGGGGCAAGTGGCTTGGATGAGTGGCTTAGGCCATCCCGCAACTCCAGATCGCCTTCTGTCTCCATGGCTTCCACGTTATCTTCCAGGCAACATGGGTCTCCGTTGTTCTCAGCTACGGTAGTCTCCACCTCAGTGTTGTCCCGTGTGTTTTCTGGGACTGGGCTATTGGGGATTTGTCCGCCCATGTGCATCCGGATGTGTTGCTGCAGCACTACGGCATTTGTAAACTTCTTCTGGCAGATGGGGCAGGAGTGCTGCATCTTCAAGGGGGTATTTGCGCGGTGAACTCCATAATGCGTCTTGAGGTTGCCTTTGGTAGAGAAGGCGCGGCCACAGATCTTGCACTTGAAGGGCCGCTCGCCCGTGTGAGTGCGGTAATGCATCTTGAGGGAGCTCTGGCAGCTGAGGACTCGGTGGCAGATCAGGCACTCGTTGGGGTCCGACGCAGATTTGTCAATGTTCTCCACCAGCTGCTGAAGCTTTGTCGTTTCGGAGCCTTGCTCACCAGCTCTGCCCACATGAAACACACTTGCGCTGCAGCCAGCCTGCGGGGAACTCCTGTTCTGCTCGACCCCAGACTCGTGACTCGCCGTACCCGATGAAGACCCACCTTCGCTTTCCGGAGAAGGCCTGGGCTGCATGTCACTCAGAAGCACACCGGCAAAAGAATCCTTGCTGCTTGCCAAGTTGGAAGCGTGTGGAGGTAAGCTGGCACCTACAGAGGTAGGCAGTGCAGTCAAGATGGGCTTGGTGTCTACAATAAGGTTGGATTCATCCAGCGGGACAGACATCCCATAGGGTATGCCGCTGCTGGTGGGCATGTTGTCCAGGTGTTCCGGTACCGGGTAAGGATTCATTTTGATTTGGGGATATTTGTCCTTATGCCGCTGGAAATGCACTTTAAGGTTGCCTTTGGTCGTAAAGCGATTGCCACAGATGTTGCACTTGTAGGGTCTTTCGCCCGTATGCGAACGGAGGTGGATCTGCAGGGCGCTGTCATTGCCAAAGACTTTGCCACAGAACTTGCATTTGTGTTTGAAGAAGGAGGAAGGCTCTTCCAGGCTTGGTTTGTTTTCGGGCATGTTGAGAGTGGCCAGCTTCCCTTTCGCCTTCTTCGAGGGGTCGACCGCTGCTGGGGAAATGGCCGAAAGCGGGTTTTGGAAGATGACTGAGCTGGACGATTGAGGTAGCAAAGGGTTGGGGAAGCGGGAGATGGCGCCTGACAGGCCTCTGATTGCGTCGGGCTTCAAGGAGATGGCCGCTGGCGTGAGCCCGCTGGCCATAGAGACAGCGGCCGGCATGCCGGCACTCGAATGAGGTAGTTTGCCTTGCTTCAAGGATTCCAGGGATAGGCTTTGGTTCCCAGCTTTCTGTCCGATTAACGCCACGGCAGCTGACAGTTGTTGGGACATGTGGGCTCCCAAAGCTTTGAGCGGGTCGGCAGCAGCTATCGAAGGATGCAGGATGTGGGGGGCCATCATGGCAATCTGGATCCGGATTTGCTCCGTCAGCTGGATCTGTTGGAGCTGCTGCTGCTGTAGGCACACGAGCTGCTCAAGGATCATGGGGATGGCGTTGAGGCCAGCCATGGATGGAGACACAGTCTCCGAGGTACATTGGTTGACAGCCACTTTAGTGCCACGTATGGACTGCAAAGTCACGTTAGTGTTTGGTACTTTAGGTTTGGGCATATAGCTCAACTCATGAGCCGCGGGAGCGACAGGGGGCTCCGTTTTGAGATACATCCCTCCCTCCGGTTCAGCGCCGACCTTCTCTCCTCTCTTCTCCGCAGAAGCGGAATGACTCTTGGCAGGGCTCTCTTTGGCCGTCTGACCGTCCATCTGATTGCTGGGGAAACTCCCCGAGGAGCTGTCAGGGAAGTCTTCCAGGGGCACCGTGACCTCGCCGTCATTCATGATTAGGACAGGTGGCGTCTTAGTGCAATTTTTCTTATGCTCGAGGAATTCGGAAAGCTCAAAGAACTCTGCACAGCATTTCTCGCAGATGTTGGTCTCCTCCGTCCGGCACCTTTTGGAACTCATTTCGCCCCCTCTGTCACCTGGGACGTCTTGTGGACTCCCTAGAAAGAGACATCAGAAAGAAAAAGAGAGAAAGGAGGTCTCAGAGCAAGGTTCTTTTACAGGAACAAAAGCACAATCAGATGTCTCTGCTGGGAAAAGGCGCAATGCAAGGTGCAATCAAGGAGGATTTTCAATCCCTTTTACCCAAATCCAGTTCCCATTGCTGCTACTTGTCAAAGCAATATGGGTGCTAAGCTCCCTACCACCCCAGTTTAAAGCATTTCTTATTAGCTATGCAATGACAGAGTACATTATACAAATTGCCTTCCAATACCAGATTCAAAGGTCTATAACATGAACAGAACAGGTAGGCTAAAGAAGTCTAGGTATACAGTACAGGGTCAGCTCAAAGTATGAGGGAACTCAAAGTGCCCTGACAGCAACACACACATACCCCATCAGTGGAGGCTGGTTCGCTCAGGTGAATGGGGCGCTGCCCCCATCAATCGCAGTCTGTTCTCACTTGCCTGCCTTCTTATTTACAACCTGTCAGCCTCCTCCCCACTCTGCTGTGATAGCTCAGTCAGCAGAGCATGAGACTCTTGATCTCGGGGTTGTGTGTTTGAGCCCCACATTGGGCAAAAGTTTCCTGCATTTAGAAGACATCTGAAGCCAGCCCTGTTTAGGAAAGCTTTTAATGTTTAACAGACTATTGTATTTTAATATTTTGTTGGAAGCCACCCAGAGTGGCTGGGGAAACCCAGCCAGATGGGCGGGGTATAAATAATGAATTATTATTATTATTGACTCTCGGTGTCCCTTCAAACTCTATGATTCTAGGTGGGTGGGGGCAAAACTAGAATTAGTTGGCTCCACCAGTCATTGACTCTACCCACTGTTCACCTTTGTGCCTTACACCTGATTAGTCGCATCAGCCACCACCACTGAGCCCCGCCCCCCAATCCACCTATGGCAGTGTGGCTTTATTTAACTCATGCCTCGCAGGCTTCCAATCTGCATGGGGCTGGACACTATTTGGGCTACAGCCTGATCCCATAAAGATTTGATTCCTGCAAAAGCTCTCTGTACAGGAATGACGTACATCAGGAGAGCACACTTATCCCTGAAGGAGTCAAATGCACCCACAAACACAGCCAAGCTGGACATATACCTGTTAGTGCAGGAATGAGATGCCTCATCTCTGTGCCACCTTATTTACAGAAAGGAGGACCATACCAACTCTTTTTTTTTTTAAGTAATAGTCAACATTATGGAATTATACTGCAAATTTCCTCAAGTTAGTTTTTCTTATAGATGCTCCCCCATGTGGAGATCCCGGGTGTTTACACCATCAACAGAATGGAGATTTTGTAAACTCCCTGAAATTACAAAAAAAATATGTCACTCCATTATGGAGGGGAAAGACTGGAGGAGGGCAGATGTTTATCTCAGATGTTTATGGCAAGGCTACACCTCAAGGACTCAGGTTCAGGTCTTTCTCAAGAAACACATGCAGAGTCGAAGCAGAAATTGCTGCTGTGGACACAGCATTTCTTCTTCAGTACTGTACAACATTCAATTAATACACAGAGAATGGCTGAAAAGGGCTCTTGCAATGGATTTACTGCATTAAAAGTTAAAATCATTAGGTCATTATGCATAGGGCTAATCTGAAACTTTGTACAGCATCAGAATATGACAAAACTGCTGGAGTTTTTTGGAAGTACAGAGTCTGATTTTTTTTTTTAAATGCCCACCAGTATGAGGGGAGGAGAACAATTCCTTCCCTTCACCCCACCCTAGTGAGCTGAAAGGAATCAGCACTTTTCATTCTGTTTAAGATGTATTATGTACTCACTCTCAGCTGGGGTGGGGAGACATTAGATTCAATCTGCATTTGAAGGCAAGCAGTTTGCACTATCCACTTTGCACTTTCCAAAGCAATCCAAGAACCAAAACAGAGCTATCCTTTGAAATTCATTCTTCTCAGAATTTTGCAATGCAGCTCCCAGGCCTAGTAATATGCACAAAAATGCATTCCCCACCCAAAGCCCCACACCCACAAAGATAGCAACTCTGTTCTTTCCATGCAGTTATAATGGCATATGCATGCAGACCTAACAGCACCTGCACATTATTCCCCTAGCAAGAGACACTTATCCATTCCCACTCATTCCATTTCTATCCTGCCCCTAGATAGTGCAGGATGGTGTCCTCCCTCAAGATTGAGTCAACACAACCACTTTGTAAAGTAAGGTTGGGAAGAGAGAATGACTGTCTAAAGCATGGCTAGGCAAAGTAAGGCCCGGGGGCCAGATGCGGCCCAATCGCCTTCTCAATCTGGCCCGCGGATAGTCCGGGAATCAGCATGTTTTTACATGAGTAGAATGTGTCCTTTTACAGTGGTACCTCAGGTTACATATGCTTCAGGTTACAGACTCTGCTAACCCAGAAATAGTACCTCGGGTTAAGAACTTTGCTTCAGGATGAGAACAGAAATTGTGCTCTGGAGGCGTGGCGGCGGCAGGAGGCCCCATTAGCTAAAGTGGTGTTTCAGGTTAAGAACAGTTTCAGGTTAAGAACGGACCTCCGGAACGAATTAAGTACTTAACCCGAGGTACCACTGTATTTAAAATGCTTCTCTGGGTTATTTGTGGGGCCTGCCTGGTATTTTTACATAAGTATTATGTGTCCTTTTATTTAAAATGCATCTCTGGGTTATTTGTGGGGCATAGGAATTCGTTCATATTTTGTTTTTTCAAAATATAGTCCGGCCCCCAACAAGGTCTGAGGGACATTGGACCGGCCCCCTGCTGAAAAAGTTTGCTGCTCCCTGGTCTAAGGTCACTCCATGATGCTCACGGCAGAGTAAGGATTTGAACTCGAGTCTCCTCAGCCCTAGTCCAAGTTTCTAACCACTACATCACACTGGCTTCAACCTCCCTGTCCAGATCAGTTGACCACCTCTCCCTTAAAAGCAAATTCCTATGAGGTGAAGTCCTTATACCCTTATACCCTGTTCCTTTCCTCTAATGACATCACCAATTTCTTCACTTGCTTTCCCCAAATGTTTACTCTTCACTCAATAACGAAATATATCAGCTTGGGTGTTTTGCTGGGGTTCCAGTCAACATCTAGGCTGACACAAAGCAGAAATCTCAGAAAGCAACATTTTCCCCTAAATAGTAGCCAGAAGCCAGCCAAGCAAAGTCTACATCAGCTTGCTTTGCACATATTAATTGGGTTTTGAAATATCCCATAATAGTAGTCAACAGTACCGATTTATGAGGAACAGCAAGCAAAAACCAGAGGTGGGGTTTTTGTTTGTTTGTTTAAAATGGAGGTGCTATTTTAAGCACTGAAGGCAAAAACAAGTTAAAGGTGGGTTCACCGTCACAAACATGTTGCCCAAAAAGCACATTCACTGTCTTCAAAATTATGTGCAGGAATGGAATCATTTATATCAATACGGTATTTTATGGAAAATGAGGTGGAAAATGTTCAACAGGAAGTTCATGCATTAACAAACACACACAAAAATGGGTTCCCACACAGTGGTGGAAAAAGCAGTCTTTGAAAAACATTTCTTTGAACTACCACCACTAAACACCCACAGAGGAATATGATCTGGGACCAGAGCCTGGTCTGAAGATCTTCCTTCAGTAATAAATGTCTTACTAGAGCTCATGCTTGAGAAAATAGCAGAATATGATGCCTTGCAAACATTTGGTTGCTTTTTTAAAAGGAAATTTTCACCACAAGTGTAGATATCCAGGGATAGAGTGTTTCTGGCCAGTGTGGACCAACTGGGGCCCACCATGCTTTGGAGCTTGGCTCACTAGGTTATAATAGGCAAAGTATGGCCATTTTCACCAAATCCAGTGCTATTGCCCTGTCCATCCGACTTTTTGCATCACAGCTTATGCTGGACTTGTTTTAACCAGGATGGATTTGATTTAAATCACTAGTCAGTAAGACTTGATTTAAATCATTTTTTTACAGAAAGATTCATTCTTGCTGGTATAATCTTAATACCTCATGGTACCTCGGTTTACGAACTTAATCCGTTCTGGAAGTCCGTTCTTAATCTGAAACCTTTCTTAAACTGAGGCGCATTCTCCCTACTGAGGCCTCCTGCTGCCGGTCCCCTTCCACCTCTCGAATTCCGTTCTTAGACTGAGGTAAGGTTTGCAAACCGGGACACTACTTCCGGTTTTCCAGAGTTTGTAAACCGAATCGTTCGTAAACAGGACTGTGCTTAAACTGAGGTACCGCTGTAATAAATTTTGAGAGTAGTTTTTACAGTTATATCAAAAATTACAGATTTGGTTATACTATTAGAAATACATACAGATAATTATGAAATTATTGTGAGGTTTAATAAGTTAACTGTTTATATTTGGACAACTTTTCCACTGTACTTTATTGGAAGGAGAAAAATAATTTCCTTAATAACAATGTAAACAATTTATTTAACTAAAACAATAACATTATAGCACATGTATCCATGTTTGTTAACTGATGGTTAAACTTTTTTATAAAAACAAACAAATGAGGAGACTGAGTTTTAGCAGACATGAAAAACTTAAAACAATTCCTCATTTCCTGATTTTAGCCTTTGGACTATAATGTAACATAAATAGAAAACGGTCTTTAGAAAGATTTTTCCTCCAAAAGCATTTTATTTTAAAGATCCAATTTAAATTTAAAAAATCTGATTTTTATTTATTTTTAAAAACCATTGATTTTTACCCACCCTGGTTTTAATTTTTAGAAATCCAGTTCAATGGACAAAAGCTGATGAGAAGAGAAGATCTGGCATGCACACTCCCCCATGCAAATTCACCACCACTTTCAGAGTTACTTTTCAATTCTCAGACCTGCTCCTGAAACATAAGCGATCATAAGACCTGGAAGCCTGTCAAGGCATATCTTCCAGCCAGCATCCTATTTTCTATGGTGGCTAAACAGACACATTTTGGAAGCCCAGAAGAAGGTCATAGCCACAGCAATCTCCAACTGTTCCTGGGACCTCCAGTGCCACTCCCCCACTGACCTA